ACATCCCTAGTTGCGAACATGTTTTTTTTATAAGGTTTCTTAGTAAAAAATGTTTCTGAAGCTGCAAAGGCATTTTTTATTATGTTTTCTTAGTAAAATAACATTTCTGAAGCTGTGAAGGCGTTTTTTACTATATTTTCTTAGTAAAATAACATTTCTGAAGCTGCGGAGGCATTTTTTTACTATGTTTTCTTAGTAAAATAACATCTCTGAAGCTGTGAAGGCATTTTTTACTATGTTTACTTAGTAAAATAACATCTCTGAAGCTGCAGAGGCATTTTTTACTATTTTTTCTTAGTAAAATAATATCTTTAAAATTACAAAAGCATTTTTATTATGTTTTTCTAATAAAATAATATTTTTGAAGCTGTAAAAGCATTTTTTACTATGTTTTTCTTAGTAAAAAAAGCATTTCTGAAGTTGCAGAGGCTCTTTTTATTATGGTTTACTTAGTAAGAACTACTTCTAAAGCTTTAGAAATAGCTTTACTATTGATTCGAATCAAATTAAATATTTGAATATTTGATTTGAATTTAATCGAATCGAATCAAACATTAATTTGGATTTGATTAAATAAATCATTTTTTAATTTGAATTTAATCGAATTAAGTCAAATATAAATTTATATTTGTATTTGATTTGATTTTCAAATTTAATATTCAAATATCAAATTGAATTGCAGAATCCTAATCATATATATCTATATGTCGAATATGTCTAATTAATCAATTATGTTTAATATATCAATCAGATATATCATATATGTAAGTATATCAGATTTGTCAAATTGGTCAATTATCTACATCACATATACTATGCAATATTTATCTGTTCAAAATATCAAATTTTTTATGCATAATAATCTGATAATCTTTTTTTACAATTTTTAATAAAACATGTCATTTCATAAATAACATAAGAAAAGATTATTAAAATATAAATATTATACTTATATAATAATGCAAAAAAGGTAATATATATATGACAAAGTAGTTAAATTAAACTGATATTATACTAAAGACTATCTTAATCATCATATTAATAGTTAAAATTCAGAAAGAAGTTATTGAATTTTTTCATTATAATAAATTGTGATCTTCAAAATAAAGATTCGTTATAGTAAGATTCAACTATATATACTGACTAAAGTTATAATACAAACAGTTCATACTGTATAAGAGTTTAATCCTAAATGAGAATGATCTTTACCTAATTGATCAATAATATTTCAGATATTTCAGATTACTTAAATTTCCTTTTTATTTATATTATTAATATTTAATATATATTATGTCTAATTACAAAAGTATATCATTTTAAATTTTTTTTATGTTCTATCGAATTTACTTTGGACTTTAAACAGATCCCATTTCCTAGTAGTATACTTTTTGATTCTCAATATATAGTATACAAAACTTATGAATTTTATTACATTTTAAAATTTTTATAACTAATATTATAAAATTAAATCAGTTTTTACATATCAACTTCTTTAATAAAATTCTACCTTTTATTTTAATTACAAACCTAACTATTAATTGTTATACTCTTTATTTACAAATTTATAGTATAATATTAATAGATACTTGACTATTTTATTCTAAATATTTAATTAAAATTTAAAAATTTATTTTAGCTTTATATTTTTCATATCTTAACAAAAATCTTTAATATTTAATCGTTAATTTGAATACTTTTTATCTGGAAATTATTAGTAAATAAACTTACTATCGAGAATTATTAATTTTTTCTTTAAATTTCTTTTTTAATATATAAATCAAAAAATAATAAACGATTTTGGCCGGAATTACGGCATTAAGAAATTAACCGTAAAAAAAATACGTGATCGACTAATTTGACTTCCGGATTTGGGTTTCTATGACCGAATTATTATAAATTATTCGGTAATTATATATTTTTCATAAAAACGTAATTTCAAAAGTAAGCAATATAGCCATGATGAAAATATTACGAGATTATGATAATGATGAAAAGAACGAATGAGAAATTTCATTATATTTTTAATGATGTAATTTGAACGCTTATAGCCAAATACTTTTGTTATAAAAACCTTTGACTTTTCCTTAGGTTCAGAATTGCGTAAAGAAATATTTTTTTACATTCTGTCAATAAAAATATTTTTCATCCTACTAATATATTATCAAAACCATGTCTAATCCTCACCCACGAACTAATGACCCAGATCGTGCTGCGCTTGAACGTGAAGCAATTCAAGCTCGTGATAAAGCTGAGCAAGTTGCCGAAGCTCTCAGGTACAACCATAAGTAATCTATCTCATCAATTTTTTTTTTGTGGATAGGGAAAACAAAATATATTAAATATTTTAAATCGGGAAAATCACTTTATATGAATTTCTGAAATAATCTCTCATTCTCCTCATTATAGAGAAGGAAAACTTCCTTCAAACCAACAGATCACATCTGCTATTGAAACAATTCAAGAATCTGATGTTATTTATGATTCCGCACGCGGAATGTCTCCTTTAGGCAAACGAGTACTGGTGAGTACCGAAAAACTTTTAGAGAGCACGAAGAAGCTGTTAGAAGAAAAGAATGTTGGAGATGAATTACAGAATATTTTCTATTATGGTAGTCAAGCAACAAGAGACGCTAGCGGTAAGCTTTCGAACAAGTTTTATTTTTACGGCTTCAAACTATTATTTATATTTTAATCACTTGACTAGATTCTGCAACAATTCCCCAGGATATGAAACAGAAAGTATCTACCGAGGCTTCTACTTCCCAATCAATGATTCAAGATGCGATTAAAGAAGTCATTTTAATCCCACAACTACTCATCACCAGTTCAGAATTCAGAAAATTAATTAATGATATCCATAGTATCATTCAGGATTCGCTTTTACGAAATGTTCCAGGCAAAGAACCACCAACAGAAACAGGTCCTGAACTTGGAACTGATCAAGAAAAGTCAATTCAAGAAGCAAAACAAGAAACTAAACAACAAGCACGGGAAAGCACTTATCCTGTTGCAAAGACAGCCGCCAAAGTTTCTGGAGCTCATATAAAGGAATTTAGTGAGGGTAATAAAAGTCTTCAAGAAGCTGCTACTGGTGGAGCAAAGGAATTAGCAATGCGTGTCAAAGACACAGTTGTCAATATTCAACTTACCGAAGAACAACGTGATAAACTTGTGGAAAGATTCAAGAATGTGATGATCGAAACTCAATCGAGACCCGAATACCAACAGGCTCTTTCAAACATCATCAATATCGTTTCTTGTATTACTCAACAATCAAAAGAGGTGTCTGGTCACGTTGCAAATAAAACAAAAACACAAGTGCAAGAAAGTACTGATGAAGAATCTCTCCAAATAGCTAAGCAAAATGCTAAGGATTTAATTGAGAATTTCGCTAATCGCAAATCGCTTGATCCTTTGATCAATGCTTTGAGAGAACTTGGTAGTAGGATTAAAACTGATGAAGATTTGAGATCATACTTCAAAGATCTTCAAGACTTTATTCTTTCTTCATTACGTGATACTCAATTTGTTCAACAAACTGATTACAGGGAGCACGGTTCAAGGCTTATTGACACTGGACGACATTTATTACTTGAGAGATACTCTGATACCACTCAACATATAGTAGACGAAGCTAGTGCATTCAATCAAGCCTTGCAGGAAGACAGAACGACAGCTCAATGGACTAGCGACTTCGAGAATTTAATTCGTGATATGTTTTTGGATGAGAGAGGTCAACCAACTGTGAAATTCGAACTCATAAAAGATTTCGGTAAAATCATTCCTGTTGTTGCCGATAAATTAAAATATTTACCTCTTCCCAGGATTGAAAAGTAATGATTTTATTTTCCTTATCTCAAAAAAAAAAACAAAATCGAGTAAATGATTTAACATTAATCGTATTAATATATTTTTTAGCTCTGATGAAGAATATGATTACATTTTTGATAATGTTGTTCTTTATCTTTCTGAACTCATGCCAAAACACTTGCATATGAGCTTCACATCAGATATAAATCTTGATCGAGAAGAAAATGACGTTGTACAGAACACCGCATTTATAGAAATGTAAGTTTAAAGTAAATCCAACATTAGAGATGTCATACTTGCTTTGCTTATTTCCTTAATACATATAGTTCGAAATTACGTGCCGATGCTCGTAATATCGCATTCTATTACAAGAAGAAGAAAGGTCTCATTAACATGATGGATGTAAGTAACTGTATTCACGTACTCGCTCACATATCAAAAATCTAAACTCATGAATTCCAAATTAAATAGGTCGGATTGGTAGACTTCTCAATTCCAAAAAATGGCTTAACAATTAAAGTTAAGCTTTTATTGAATCTACCTAGCGATTCAAATCCATCCCTTGACATCAAAGTTTTAGAAGCCGACACCACTATTGACAGCTTGACACTCAAATTACATGATACAAAGCATGAGTAAGTCTTATTCTGATTTAATGATTTAATTTGTCATTATCTTAATAATTAAGTAAATATTTGGTTGTACTTTTATTAGTTTCTTGTACATTTTATTGACTCCTTTAGTCGAAAAACGTTTGAAAAAACAGTTGGCTAATATGGTTACAGACAAAGTGATTAAATTCTTTAACTATGTGAAAGATAGCATTACCAATCTTCAATCGCAAGTTGGTGAATTACAAAAGAAATCTCTTGAAACCAAGCGCAAAGACAAAGGAGCTGTTCCACAAGGTAGTGAAGAAAAATTGAAACAAAGTCAAGCTTGGCAGAGTCCGGCTTTTAATCCCGCTCTTAAAGCTCGAGAGGAATAATTTAGTATTTTATGCATCAAAAAAGGGTTGCAAAGAACGTATTTATCAATCTTTTTATTTAATAATTTATTCGAATTTTATTAAGTAGTACATAAGGATACTTTTATTTATTTGCGAACAATGGCATTTAATAATAAAAAAAAATCATTACAATTAAATAAAAAATCGTTGTTAAATTTTCTTTGCCTTGAAAAGGATATGTTCAATTACAAGTCGAAGTAGAAGATAAGCCTATAGTCCAATGATAAATTCCAATAGTTAATATCATTGCAACCTGGCCCATTAAGACAGAAACTAATGCATATTTGTACGCATGTTTTCTTGGAAGCCGTGTGATTTCGTTCTAAATGATGTAAAAAATGTGTTTGATTTCTCGTGCTATTTCCAAGTTAAAAATATTTTAAACTTACGGCAAAAGAAGAAATTGTCGTAAGACATCCTATTAAATGTAAAAAAAAAAGGTTGGAATTATAAAATTGCAAAATTTCAATTTTTTTTAAATTAAAATTACCACAAAATCCGTTAGCAAGTCCTTCAATAATTTCGCAACTTAATTGTGAAGAAACAATACCATTGCTTAATAGAAATAAGATTCCAAGAACTATAGAACCTGACAAATTTGCGGCAAAAGTTCCCAACGGAAAATGTTTTTTCAAGGTATTATATTTAGATAAATAACATCTAATCGAGGTTCCTTAAAGGGAGAAAAACATTTATACATATATTTTATCACAGGAAAGAATGCAAATTGTATATACCTATTGGAGCGAATACAGTAGCAAATATTATATTCCTATGTACTTGAACTGTACTGGCTAAAGCAACAACAAGAATAAAAGAAACAATTCCGAATCCAAGACATAAAATATCCGCAATAGTAAATTCATTTAATTTAGAAGGTTTTTGAACGATTTTGTATAATTTTCCCAAACGAATTTGATGTCTTGGAATTATTATATCTGCTAAATGTTCTCCAAACTTCAATCCTGTCACGGACATTCCTATTGTAATTCCGATGTCTGCAAGAGATGCAAGAACCTATAATTTAGAAATAATGGATCTTTTAAGAAAATTTGCTATTTTTTTTTTTTTGAGACGAAAAAATTTGAAGGATTGGTGTACATTATATGCAACACTACGATGAGGAATGTGCTGTGAAGTATATTCATTGAAAATCAAAAGAATCCATGAAGAAAATGTTGTTATAGATCCACAAAAGCCTGTTGTCAGCCCTATATATAAAGGAAGATAACTAATTGAATCAATTAATAATACATATTCATTTAATATTCCAAATATTTTAATCACTGTTTTTACCTTTCCATAATGAAACCGTTCCTTGCTATGCAAAAACCCATTATTACACATCCAACAAATTGTGGGTATATTAATGAAAACACTGGTGTTCCAGGATACGAATGAAGATTAATAAGTCCGATACGAATAAGAACTCCAATAATTGAAAACGGAATAAGAATTGCAAAAACAATAGCTTTTCTTTCGATTAATTCTGTTGATAATTCTTCAACTTCTTTTTCTTCTGCTTGAATAGTTTCATCCACATCAGAATTTTCTACATTCTCGGCTACAGCTAAAACGTTTGATAATGTATTTGAAGAACTTATATTATTTTTATTGAAATCGTTAACTGATAAATCTTGCATTTTTAATCGAGAGTTTTCTGTTTCCTATTCTAAATATAGCTCTTATCGTAATAGGAAGCTTGGCATATTATGTTATACAAATTATGTAATCTTTTATTGTGATTCAAATTAATTGTAACCCGTGGGAGAATCCAATAAAATGATATATCAGATCGGTTGATGATTTGGCGATAACGCATGATAAGTATTTATGTTTTATTTTTATTTATTAAGTATGATCATAAATAAATTAATTTAATCATTTATTTTTGAACAATTACAGTCAAACCTTAATATAGCGAACCCTTGATATAGTGTATATTAAATATACCTTACTATTATAATGAATTTTTTTTAATGAATTTAATTGGCTAGTTTACGATCTTATAACGAAGTTGAGATCCGGACCCTAGAGTTCTTAAGAGTTCACTGAACAAAGTAAATAATATTGAAGTTTTTTTTATAGTATTTAATAAGTAATATAGGTTAATTTATAGATAAATAACAATAAATGAAATAGCTGTTTATGACTCTCTAATCTAATTAAGTTAAAGAGTCATAAACAGATTAGAATAGATTATGAAGTTTATACCGTTACATATTCATTTTATACTGTTATACTGTAGGTTTATTTTTATACTGTTACCTATCCTGTGAATCATGTAAATATTCATGCATTTTTTTCTATGGATTTTTATTATTAAAAAACCATTTTTCTATGGTTTTTATTTACAAGAAGTTAGTTATCTGTTGATTAGATTTTAAATTCTTTGGATTATTATAGAGGTATTTATAAATTAACCTACTTCTACAACTTTTTATTGCTTATTTATAGGTTGCCTATTGTCTTTTTTATTATTAAAAGATTGTTCATATATTGGTACCTTTTATTACCTATTTTGATTAATAAAAATGAAACACTTAATACTAATTTTACAATTATACTATTTGTTTTTTTTTGCTACTAGAAGTCATGTTTTGTAGATATAAAAGCTGATTTGACTAGCCCAATATTCAGGATACTTGATTTTTAGATTTCAGCATTTTTGTTAATAAAATAACCTTTAGTCTATAACCATCTCAGACTGTACTATTTTAGTATAGATACTATGTGTCCTTTTAAAAGAATTTTTGCATAGGTAGCTAGCAATAGAAGAATTACTTTAGGCTATATAGAAGCATCGCCCCTATATTTAATCTAATTAATATTACAGAGTTTATAGGATAGTATTATAAGATTTGCCTAAATGGTAAACTAGTGAAATGACTATTGTATCCATTTCGTTAAACTATCTAAAAATTGAACTTAACCTTTAATCTTAATAACAGGTTAATTAGATAATGCAATCATATTATTTGCTAAAGATATGTCGCAATTTATTTGCTAACTCTTAATTGTTAGATAAGACATAAAATGCTCAAGTTATACTAACTTATAATATTAGCAATTTCATTCTTGCTTATAGTATGATCTTTCTGTTATATAATTAAAAGAATATTTATGCTAATTTTTTTTATCATTAGTATAGAATCACTAGTTTTATATATTAACTAATAACAGAATTGATAATATGTGGGTCTTTGTAATAGAAAGAGGGAAACTACCAGGAAAATCAATTTTCTTTTATATGCTAAATATGATTTTTAGGCTTGAAATATATTCAAATTTAGTATTAACTTATTTTTGATTTTCTGGCAGTTTCACACTTTCTATTGTAAAGGCTCTATATATTGATTATGCTTCTGAAGAATTATAAGTTATTTTATTTCTTTTTTGATTAGTATTACTAATAACACTAGTAAAAAAATAGTAAATTTTAGAAAAAATTAAATTATTGTATAGTATACTGTATACTATAAAAAAAGTAAAAAAAAATTAAAATTCAGATTTCTCTAATAAGATTAATAATACTGATAATACCTATTAATAATAGTTTCTTATAACATAGAAATCTTAAAGAGCTTATCATTTACATCACTAACTTTGATCACTAGATTTTCTAATAATACTAGTAATAAGTTGTATTATTTTATATCACTTTATTTATACCTAAATTATCTACTATTTCTTATATCAAACTAATTCAGCCAGCTTTTTTGATAAACTATTATATTTATGATACTTTTTAATATAAATATTACAGAACTCTGAACTATATTAATATAACATACATTTGAGTTTGCGTAGAGTTTATATGTAAACTTTGCCAAAAGTTGCTTATTTTTACAAATTTACTTATCCTACATACTCCATTATCTCAATAATCAGTGATTCAATATTAATGAAATTTATACTATTGGATTCGCCTAATCGAGAGAAATCTAATGGTAGTAATTTCATCTTTCTAGCATTAATATTGGCTGATTTATACCATACAATATAATTTTAATTGTGTGTTCATGCTACATTTGTGAGTTCTATTAGTATAGTTCGGGTCCTAAATAATTATACAAATACCTTGCCATCCAATAATCTAATTTATATGAACTTTTTTTATTTTATAAGCCTTTTTAAACTCTATAAAATAAAAAATAATTATTCAAATTGGATTACTAAATATTAAAATGATTGTAAAAAACTTTTTTAATTTATATAGAAACTTGATAGAATAATTACTTTGAAGTATATACAAGTCATTTGAAAATCCAAAAAGCTTATATGAGTTAGTACATACAAAAATCATGCTGCAGGACTATGTAATTCATATGATTAAAACCTGATTTTTGTATGTACTAACCTATATGTAAATTTTATAATATTAAATTAATAGAATTAATATTATTAATTTTTATATTTTAAGATATTTGCAATTAATTATAAATTACCTTTTAATCAAACTTGAAGACAAATAAAAGAATCTCCTACTATTTCACGTGAAATTTTTGAAAATTTTGATTTCATTACATTTTAGATTAATTTAAATATGATTGAAGAAATATTCTTATTGTAAATTACTTAATATTCTTTAATAAGATAAAGCATAATTATTTCAAGTTATATATTCTTTAGCTTATTTTGTTCAATTCTAGAATAATTATGAAATACTTCTTGTTATTAAAATATTATTTAAATAAGAAAAAAATAGAAAAATTAGGAACAATCACTTCTTTTATTATTATATTTATTATATTCCAGATATCAAATTAAATAATTTAAAGATGATTTAAATATTTATTATTTTACCTTTAGTAAGTTGCTTATTTATTATTGTTAAGTAATGATCTAAAAAGAAAGTAATTTATATTATATATATGAATTTGATAAATTTCATATGAAAAATATCTGTTTAATAATGATATATATAAATAATTTAATAATAATATTTAGAGATAGATATTTTGTAATAAATGTTACAAATGAATTAGGTTTTATTGCTTGCAAATTATTTGGAATCTATATAAATATAGCTTCTTTTAAGCATTTTAAAGTTAAGTGTTTTTATTATAATCAAATCAGTAAAATCATTTAATAATATTAATTTTATTTTATTTTATCGGGTAATACTATTTGGCGACCCTGTCGCCATGGCGACCCTATCACGTGATTCGAGTTTGATTGGACAGAATGTAATA